AATCCAGAGAATTTAGGGTCGTTGGAAGTATCAACCAACATTTGCATTCCATCGTGAACGAGAAACAAACTGGCCGTTTCATTAAGCAAATGAAAAAGGGGCATTTTATACCACAATCGTGGTATAATAATATATCGATCGGCCATTCGTGTGTCCCCTTAATTAAAACCGCCATCCAGATAGTAGATTCTCAGTCGACGAACTTTAATCAAAGCTGGACTTGACCCAAAAAAAAACCACGCTGCGACATCGGAGTCACGGCCGTGAACAACATAACAAGGAGTGGCATTTCGACGATGCTTTTTTTTCTCGTTGAAAGCACGCTGTTTGCAGATTGTCTATCAGCCAACGTCCTTCAACCTTCTCCCTGGTAAAACTATCCTCTCTTCCGCATCCTGCACTTCTAACAATAAGCCTTCCTCGCACGCCTTCCTCTTCCGCCCGATGGACATCGAAATGCTTTTACAATTAATGACACTTGTCTAACGATGATACGTGGAAGAAGATAAAATAAATTTGTAAGCGGATAGAGATTCCAGTACGTACTGTCAAAAAAAATGATGACTCCGAAATAGTAATTTTTAAACGGTGATATATATATGTCATCATTTATAAATAAAAAAAAAAAAAAGAAATTAAAAAATTCAAGATATATTGAAATATTATAGAAATTCTATAGATTCTTTTTAATTTATTTTTCTTAAGAAGGAACATCATGAAAAATGGTAAAAAAAAATTTAATTTTTCACGCATGTTTCGAAATTATAAAAATAGAGAAAATAATTAAGAACATTTGGATTTGAGTTGAATATTTTTCTAATATGAATATTTTTCTAGCATCAAAGGATTAAGGACGTGGGATTGAGAATTTCCACAAAATATTGCATACTTTGTTAAGAGAAAATGCTCAACCTTCTTCACTTCCTCGAGCATATGAATACGGAAATAGACGATTAGGATAAAAATTGGTGTAGGTTGAAAATGTTAATTCTGTATTATTTTTTTCTTTTTTTTTTTCTCTCTTTCTTCTTTAAAGGTTGCGCGAATAGCAGATCCTCAGTTCTGGTAATCGATCCTCATTACGTATATTTACAATGATTAAAAGCGGAAGTCGACTAAAGTGCACTCGTGACTCTCGCCTTGGCGTCGATATCGATCTCGAATGCTCAACCACGTGCAATTTCGTGGAAGCTCTCCTGTTTAACTTACGTATCAAGGTTACGTATGAAGTGTCACTCGTTTTATCGTTTCGTGTGATCGCTACATCGAAAAATAGACGAAGGGAAAATTTTATTTTCAACCGAGGAGCCATGAATATAATTCGATATATGTTTTACACGACAAACTGCGGGAACACGTCTGCCAACGAGAAGATGGAAATAGACCTGAAAATTCGAGTTCCGTGCCAGTTTCGAGACTTTAATAGGGTTAGAAGCAATGCATTCCAAACTTGCAAGCAAGGAAATATTATGATAATTCGTGTCTTCGAGTTTGTCCATTAAAATTTCGTTCTTAATCGCGTAGAAATCATTTTTACACCATTTTTGCTAATAATTTTTTTCCTTACGATAAATTCTTCAAAATAATTTCTTTTTTTTTTTAAATATTAATTTTTTTAGGAATTTATAATATTTTTATAAGAGCAGGGAGAGTACAATTTTTTCGTTTACAAAATAAATTGTTCGTTTATTTAAAATAAATTTTTCAAAACGTTGTATTTTCTTTTTTTTTAAGAGTAAATATTTTTATACGAATAAAAAAAATACAAAATGCGTATATAAAAAATATTATAACATAAATATATTTATTATTTAATTATTTAATATATAATATATTTTAATAATTATAAATAATATAATAATAAGTAATATTATTATATTTATTATTTAATTATTTAATATATAATATATTACAATAATTTTAAATAATATAATTGTAAGTAATATTATTACGAATATTAAATATTTCACAATGTGAAATATCGTAAGCAAAGCGAGCGAAACGAAGTAGGAGAAATAATAACATTCG